CGCAGGCCGGACCAGGGGCCTCCCGATGGGAGAGATGCGGCGGCCCGAAGACCCTTCCTTTTGAAACCTGGGGAAGCCGGACAGGTCTCTGCTCCCCCTCCCCAATAAGCCTCTGGACTCGCCGGCTCTTCCTCCCGGCTCTTAGGTGACCCTGGACGACAGCTCCCAGGTGGGTCCAGTGGTGACATTGCTGCAGTGTGAGCCAGCCCCTTTCCCCACGCCCACCCACCGACATCCGCCGCCCCCTACCCTGGGGAAGCCGGAATGGGACGGGCAGTCGGTACAGAGAGGGAAGTGGAGTCCGGCCAGACCGAGGAGGCCAGTTTGGAGTGAGTCCGGGCAAGCTGGAGAAAGTCCCCAGAGGAATTAAATCGTTAACTCCTTCAGAGCCCTCCCTCCACCCTTACCAAAAACCTGCCCTGCTCCAACCTGTCGCTAAGGTCACCCGACCCAGGAGTTGCCCCTCCCGACAGGGAGCTCCAAGGTTGTTAATGAGCCCTGGGTTACTCTGCCCTGCCCTTCCCCCTTCAGCCCACCTGTTCCCCACCTTTTGGCCGTCCCACCGAGCTTTCCTGGGCCTAGTCACTTAGGCAGGAAGGAGAAAGGTAAGGAAGAGAAAGAGGAGGAAGCCTAGGACTCATAAAAAGGGCAGAACACCTCCTTCCTGGGATACCAGGACACCAGCTGTGGCCCCTTCTCCCTCCCAGGAGAAGTCTTTATTACCCTTTTTAAATAAACCCTGCTTTCTCTGCTTGCCTCCGTGTGCTTCTCTAATGTTCAAACTTCAACAAGTGGGAAATCAGGGCTCATCAGCGATAACCAGCGGTATCACCGGGAGCCCCCCGTGAAGACTTCTCTCCACACGCTTAGGCGCCTCAGGAATAAACTCCCCCCAGACTCCTTCCAAAGATCTGCAAGCTCTGCCCAGGACAAAACCGGCCTGCTGCAGTATCCCTCACCCCCGCTGTCTCTCATAGGCGTAGTCAGAGGTCTCTCTGGGAAATTACATACAGATTCAAGGGAGCATGGGGGCACTCGAAGAAATGGCAAGAGTAACTCACACACCACCACCACCCACCCAAATTGGCCCCAATATGACTTGGTGGTTAAAATCTAGAGCAAGTAGAAACATCTTTTGGAATCTGCCCCTGGCCAGTGGGAAAATTATGGACTTTAGCCCACCCCAGAAAAAGAAAAAAAATCAACAATCTTGTGTCTCCCTTTGTTGGAGGAGCTGGTCCCTTGGACAGGGCCATCTCCCTCTGTTGAGCTCCAGTGGAAGACAGTCTGCACCTCAGTCTCATTGTTATTTTTTCCAAGCCAAAGATCTGACTTCAGAACAATCCAAGGTTCTTTCTTTTTACCTTTGCAATTGGCAAGTAATCTTAGTGTTTGTTTAAAAATTGTAGCTATTCTTTGCCTGTTTTTGTTGTTGTTGCTATTTTTGTTTTGTTTTGTTTCTCTAGGGGTTGCTGTTGATGAGTCTTCTAATTGTACCATTATACCATATTTTAAGTTATTTTTCTTAACTTGCTGACCTCCCTCCTGACTTGGCTGGCTCCCCCAAGTCCTTCAGAGAGTTTCCCATGACAGCTTCACGTTACCTGTTACAACAGGCTGCAATCCGGGTTGTAGTGCTAACTTAGGAAAGCTCTGAGGGGAAGATCTGGAGAGACTCTATGTGGCCGGTCAGGTCTATAAATGTTCTCATACTTGAGCATGCAAAGGAGTCATTGGAGAGGCAGCTAAAACCTAGAATCCACACCCACAAAGATCCTCACTGAGGTCAAGGGCGGCTAAGGGGAAGAGAGGCCACTGCTCCCAGGGCTGCTGGGTGGAGGACCCAGACCGGTTATGTCCTATCACAGATGACAAAGATGAACAGATGGGGATGGGCGGTAAGCAAAGGCAAGGGATGCGGAGGAAAAAACAAGGTGAAACTTTCTGCCTGCATGTGTGAGGCCCTGAGTTCAATCCCAGCACAAAAAGAAAGGAAGGAAGGAAGAAAAAAAAGAAAAAGAGAAATAGACAGAGGAGGGGGAAGGAGGAAGGAAGGAAGAAAGGAAAAGAAAGAATGAATGAATCAAGGTGAAAAGATCAGCTATCTAATTACTGACTTTAAGAAAATACAACAACCACTCCTGATGTGATCCTTACCTATCAGGCCACACGCTCCACACCCTGGCATCTGCTAATTTGCTGGAGGAAAATAATCTTCTCTGTAACTCAAGTATGAATGTAAGATAAATTATTATTATAAATTAAGGAATTTTCAAACTCTAAAAAATCATAAAGTATAGTTGGAGAAAGAAGTTTAATTTAATGGTCAAAATTAGTGTGAAGTTTGAACTAAAAACTACCCCGGGCAGGAATATGGAGTTTCAATTAATAATTAATAATGGAGTGCTTTATCTTTTGGAGGTAGTCAGAAAAGCCACCAGAGAATAGAAGCTTCAGATGAGAGTCAAAGAAGGGGATCAGAGAAGAACCGGACATGACAGACCCAGGGAGCCACTGCTGCCTTGCTGTGTTTAAAACCGTGGAGTTCACACAAGAAATCGCCTCTGTACACTGGGAAGGTCCCACTGCAGCAGGTCTAAAGAGTGTGTCCACATGGGATGAAAAGTTTGGCATACAAAGGAACCCCAGTGGGAATTTGTAACCCCGAAGGCTGATGGAGTGAACCCCGAAGGCTGATGGACTGAGATGATTTGTCAGGTGAGAAAGCTGAACCCTAAAGTGGAGTGGGGAGGTGAGGGGATAATGGGGTTCACAGCACAGAGCTCCTCCCCTGGGCCAGGCCGGGGCATAAACAGCAGGAGTTCACTTTCTCAATGTTCTGGAGACTGAAGTTGAGCTCTGGGGCTCCACCTGGGCCTGAACTTGGGATACTGGAAAAGCACATGATAGGGTAGAAGGGAAACACACACCATATCTAAAAGGCAAGCAGCATATCTCCATGCAGAACCAAAAGTTAGGGCAGCAAGAGGACAGACATGAGAGGAAGAAGTGTCAAACCTCCCCATGCTGTTCCATCGCCCAGGAGACCCCTGCAGGCCCAGGTGAAGAGTCAGTGTTTTCAGCAAAAGCAGACTTCAAGGCCCTGAAAAGTTACCTAGGCAACCATTTTCCTCATAACCCACATGTTAGATGTGCGGTCTTCAGCAAAAGTAGCGTGAAACTAATAACGTATTTCCTGGCTATGCAACCTCGGATGTTGGTGCTTTTAAGCTCACGAGTGAAGCTAGAAGTGAGAGGGTTGATTGAGGCCTTTCCTTAGTAACGATTTCCTTTTGTAAGAACCTTCTGCTTTTGTGGCTTGATCAGGGTCTGACACCTGGTCTATTACCAAGAGCACCGAGGTGGAGAAGCAGTGTGCACACCACAAAGGGCCGCCGTTACGGCACCCAGGGGTTCATCTCATCATCCCGACCTTTGTACCACTGTGGTGTCCCTAACTGTCTCAGGGACACCCCTTTATCTTCTGTACCAGTGGGACATCCTGACAAGTGCCTCTTGATGCAAAGTGGGTTCGGTGTAAAGACAATGTCCGGATAAAAATGTCCAATCTTAGCCAGTCACTCAAATCAAAGGGACCGAATCAACCATTTGGGTTAGTAGCTTAAAGGGAACAATAGATAAATGAAAAAATGCTGTGAGGAAAATACACGACAAATCAGAATGTAGTACCTTCTAAAACATAATTGACACAACAACAACAAAAGGCTGGGGGACTGTCCTAAACGAACAGGGACAAAGGAAGCATTACAATGGCTGAACTTTGGATCCTGGTTAGATAAATATTAAATTTATAAGGACTGGGTATCAGATATTTTTGATGAATAGCTCATTTTTTTTTTGGTTGATATTATGGTTATATAAGATGCACTTTAGGTAGAACATGTCTATGTAGTTAGGGGAAACATAATGTCTGCAAATTAATTTTTTGTGTTTTAGCAGAAAAAAAAAGCAGAAAAGACTAGTATGGCAAAATCAATTGCTGAATCTGGGGGGAGTTGTACAGATAAGTCTCTATATTCTCAACTTCTTTATATGTTTGATCTTTGCGGGGAGAGGACACTGGGAATTGAACCCAGGGGCATAACCACATCCCCAGCCTCATCCCCAGCCCTTTTTGTTTTGCTTTGAGATGTTCTCACTAAGTTGCTTAGGGCCTGCTCAATTGCTGG